TCCTGCGTATGCAAATTTATCTGGTTGGAGTACCAAAGGTCGTTATGCTTGTCCTTGTTGTGCTCTACAAACATATCCGAAGTGGTTGGTTAATGGAAAGAAGTTCTCTTATATGGGACATCGTCGGTGGTTACCTGATAATCATAGATTTAGAAGTCAAAAGAATATGTTTGATGGTGATGAAGAGTTTCAAAATGCTCCTGACCAAACAACTGGTTCTCAAATATTCAGAATGTTGAAAAATATCAATTTTACTTATGGAAAGATGAATCAACCAAGTAGTACACGATCAAAGAAAAAGGCAAAGCAGATCAATGAAGAGGTTGAAGTAAACGAACAAACTGATGATGAGTCTGATGAAGAGGATGATCCAAATGAGGTAGACTTGTGGAAAAGATGAGTATATTCTTCGAGTTGCCTTATTGGAAAAAGCAGATTTTGAGACATAATCTTGATGTAATGCATATTGAGAAGAATGTTTGTGAGAATATTATCGGGACCATTCTGAATGATAGCAGAAAATCTAAAGATAATCTTAAGATTCGACTTGACTTAGTGGACATGGGAATTCGGCATGATCTTCATCCGCAATTACTTCCAAATAGAAGAAATTTCTTGCCGCCTCTTTCGAAGAAAGAAAAAAAAGTTTTTTGCACGGTGTTGAAGGATATAAAGGTCCCAGATGGGTATGCATCAAACATTTCTCGATGTGTCAGTGTTAAAGATCGAAGACTTTATGGTTTAAAGTCACATGATTATCACATATTAATGCAAGATTTACTGCCAGTAGTTGTTCGCAGTTGCATGTCGAGTAAGGTGACGTCTTGTATCATTGAACTTTCTAATATAATGAAAGCCATCTGTGAGAAAGTTCTAATGGTTGAAGAACTTGATAAATTACAAGATCGAGTCGACTTGACTTTATGCAATTTGGAGAAGATATTTCCGCCTTCATTCTTCACAATTATGGTGCATCTGCTAATTCATCTTCCTCACGAAGCAAGAGTTGGTGTTCCAATTTTCTATCGATGGATGTACCCTATAGAGAGGTGTTAATTGAATTACACGTTTCAAATTACTACTGATTATACCTCTCAATCAAATGTATTTACATAGTATGTTGTTTTGTGTATAGGTTTCTGGGCAAGTTGAATTCTTATTGTCGTAATAAGCGTTATCCGGAAGGATCAATTGCTGAAGGGTATTTGGCAGAGGAATGCATGACATTTTGCTCTAGATATTTGGAAGATGTTGAAACAAGATGGCATAGACCAAATCGAAATGGTGTGTTAAGTACTGATGACTTACCTCAACATTATTTGTTTGGAAGTTATGGTCAACCATTAGGGAAAGTTGAAATTGCACACTTAGATGACATGCCCTGTGTACAAGCACACCGATATGTTCTTTTCCATCACGATTCAATATATCTCTTTCGCACGTAAGTCTTTCGGACCCAATCCTAATGAAATCTCTTTATCTTTTATATTTATCAATTTTAACGATATAATATTCTTTATAGTGAGTTTAAAGAAGTATTGAGATCTCGAGCACGCTCCCGAAGATTAAATCAGCGAGAGCTACATAAGTTATTCACATAAACTTTTCATGAATGGTTAGGCCAGACAGTAAGCAACTAAATCTTACGAAACACTTATAAATATATATGTTTTGCTTTTTATATCGACATCAATGCAAATTAATTCACCATTTATGTGTAATAGGTTTGGAGTGGGAGAGAAGTTAGTGATGAAGTTAAATGGCTTTCTCAAGGTCCGAATAGAATAGTTAAAAGATATAATGCCTTCCTCATTAATGGGTTCAGGTTCCACACGAAATCTTGTGAAAGATTAAAGAGGACACAAAATTGTGGAGTCATAGTTACTTCGTCAACTACAAGTTATGCTACTGTAAGGGATAATAATCCGCATGAGGGAGATGTCGATTATTATGGAAATCTTACGGACATTATTGAGTTAGATTATTATGAAAAACGAAAGGTTGTGTTGTTTCGCTGTGACTGGGTTGATGTAAACAGATGTATAAAAAGAGATATATTCGGGTTTACAATGGTGAATTTCTCTCGATTAATTCACACGGGTCAACATTTGATGGATGAACCATATGTATTTTCTTCTCAAGTGAAACAATTTTATTGTCACGATCCAATGGATGACGGTTGGTATGTTGTGCCTCGAAATACTCCCAGAGACTTGATAGACATCGGGGATGGAAGTAGAGATGACATTGAAACAAGATCAAAATGTTTACCTCTACTACCACAAAACATAGATGAAACTATCACTAATACAACATAATTTCAATGGGTTCGGGAGGTCGTTGATGAATATATATATGACAACTGGCATTACATAAGACTTTTGTACGATTTTATATCTTCATTTATTTATTTATAATGTTATAACCTTTAACATGTTGTCTTTCAATATATTAATTCATTCATTCATTTTTTTATTTTTTTGTGAAGAGTTTATTATAGATATCATGCTGAGGAGAAAAATAAGTGATTTGCGGGTTGTTCGAGCTTCTAAAAACCATGAAGAAAGAAATAACGAGGAATCGAATGCACCTGAGTCTTCCGAAGTTCCTGAAACTGTTGAAGAAGAATTAGAAATTCAAAGTAATCTTCGAAACATTATTTACTACTTTTTTCATTTTCAAAACTGGCATTTAATAATTTATTATATAGTTGAAAATGTTGGAACGCGCAAGACTCGAGGACGTACAACTTTGAAGGAATTATACCAACTTCCTCCTGGGCATCGTGTCAAAGTTTCAAGAAATGATGTTGGTCAACCTATTGGCCCAGAATCACGCCTTCTAGAAGGTTACTTAGGCATAGTTGGACGTAATTCGAATATGTTACTGATCAATTACGAGTCATGGCGTGAAATGCCTAATAGTAACAAAAATCAAGCGTTGGATTTTGTTAAGGTAATAATGTCATTATAATAGATACTCTATAGAAATTCAATACTAATTTATACTTACGGTGCACACTTATTTGTTGTATAGGAGAAATTTTCTTTAGAGGTCTCTGACGATTATGTGAAGCATGCGTTAGGGAAGAGATAGAGGGACCACAAGAGCTCCTTAAAGAAGAAATACTTCAAGAATGATCTCAGCCTTGAAAAGAAGTTGCAAACAGTCCCACTAGGAATGCTCAGGTACCAATAGGAAGATGCAGTCAGATTTTGGAGATCAAAAAAAGACATGTATGATGTATTTTTCAGAAATAATTGTAACAAATTTTAAACCATCATTAAAAGTGATTGTTTGACATTGTAGGACCGAGAGCATGTTGGTGTTGCTAGCAGACAACAACAAAAGTTTACGCACACGGCTGGATCAAAGAGCTTTGCTTGTATAGCTCATGAGGAGGTATTATAGATTATTGAAATAGTTTTTAGTATTTCATGTACATACTAACTCATAGTAATTATATTATGGTACATTGTAGGAAAATACATCCGGTTCTAAAGTTGGTCGAATCCAACTCTTTGACATGATACATACGAAGAAGGATGGCACTCCTATGACTGCTGACGCTGCAGAAATTATGGTACGTTTATTGGGTAGATGTTTTAAATTTACCTGACTTTATTTATATTTGTACAATGACATTTTTTATTTTAATTAATTATTCAATTTATTATTAGGAAAAATTGAGGGAGAAAAAGGTGGAGCATCATGCTACTGCTTCGAGTCAAGGTCTTGTTAATGATGATGACATTAGAAACCAAGCTATTAATGACGTTTTGGGTCTTGAAAGATATGGTCGGGTGCGCTGTTAAGGATCATTCGTTACTCCCACCAAATATTTTGGATCCAACTCATCACAGTACATGTCATCACAGTCTCGATCTTCCCACCACGAAGTTAGTCGTTTAAAAGAAAAGTTGGCTGAGATGGATCAACAAATGACTAACTTGAAAGCGGAAAATGAAGCAAGGGAAGCATAGAGAGCAGTAGCGGAAGCAGAGAAAGAAGCAGCGACAGTACAGAGAGAAGCAGCATATCAACAAAGATGTGAAGAATTTAAAAAACGACTCAATGATATGATGCTAATGATACAGAAAATGCAACCTCGGAATCCACTGTCGTAGTCTCATTTATGTTATGAGCATTCTGTTAATGTTACTGAACATTGTTTAACTGAATTTATATTACGTTAATGAAAACTTTTATTTATTATATTGGATTTAATGTTGTTTGTTATGGATATAGAGTTTGATGTTATTGTTGTTTTGTTTGTTGGATAATGGAACAGGTTGAAAAAATAGATTTGGGGTAATCAAGCATTATTTTTAGAATTGTTAAATTATGTGTTATTTAGCGGCGTTTGTAAAAAAATGCCGCAATATACCATACATTTAACAGCGTTTGTATACTAGAAACGTCACAATATACCATATATTTAGCGGCGTTTGTATACTAGAAACGTCGCAATATACCGAACATTTAGCGGCGTTTGTATACTAGAAACGTCGCTAAAAATCATCACATACTGCGGCGTTTGTGGGAAAAACACCGCAAAATATCAACACCTACTGCGGCGTTCGTAAGTAAAACGCCACTAAACATCAACACCTATTGCGGCATTTTTCTGACAAACGCCGCTAAATAACAAAACCTATTGCGACGTTTGTTCAACAAACACCTATTGCGGCGTATTTCTGATAAACGCCGCTAAATAACAAAACCTATTGCGACATTTGTTCAACAAACGCCGCTATATGTTGTCACCTATTGTAGCGTTTTTTTTAAAAAAAACGCCGCTAACTTTAACGACGCTATTTTCAGCGGCACTTTTTGCGGCGTTTGTCATAACGCCACATGTGTTTTTAACGATGCTTAAAAACGCCGCTATAGATAAAAAAACTGTAAAATACCTATTTTACTGTAGTGATTATAGTAGACAAAAGAGCTGTGGCATGGGTATATTTATATGTGGTGAAAGGATGAGTTGTGTGACATGCAATAGAGATATGGTGCATACGTGGCAGCTCCCTAGTGGAGGAAACGATTTAGTCCAATTTCTCAAGATCAGATAATTCTGGGAGCCAAAGAAAAACAAGGAAAAGTCCTATTCATTCAACGCCTCTCAATCTCTCTTTAACAATTCTTCCTCCAAAAGATCAGACATGGCTAGCAGCATGGCATCGGCTGCTTCAAGGTTCTTGCTTACACCCAGTGTTCCAATCTCAGCATCCAAGACCACCACTAACATGATGTTTTCTTCTTCAAAGATCAACAACAATTCAAAACTTGTTGTGAGGGCAGCTGAGGAAGAGGCTTCGCCACTGTCCCCAACCCCAACAACCACCACCACAGCATCGGAAGGTGGCGAGGCCCCCAAGCCTAAGCCACCTCCAATTGGACCAAAAAGAGCACCAAGGTTAGCCACCTCCAACTTCATATAATTAGCCTGATAGCTTAAACACACATATAGCATACTTTTATCTTTATTCCAAGTTTAGGGTTGATCGAGTGTTGGCCTTTGCTATATGTTTTGAATTGGTTTTTGATGTCATAGGTGAAGATTCTAAGGAACGAGTCCTACTGGTACAACAATTATGGATCAGTTGTGACTGTTGACCAGGTCACTCTTTGTTTTTCTCCATGTGCATGACTCTACGAGAAAACGATCTAATCCTACCTCCATTATTGGTGCAGGATCCCAAGTCACGGTACCCAGTTGTGGTTCGATTCAACAAAGTGAATTACGCCAATGTATCCACCAACAACTACGCTCTGGATGAGATTGAAGAAGTTAAATGAGTCACTGTTGCATTTCGTCATATTTTTAGTTTTCAGTGATCGTATGTATGTATGCGTCCATGCATCCATGCATGATTGTTTGTGTTAGACAAAATGGTTAATCCGAGATAAAAATAACAATAATAAATATTATTATATAATCGAACGAAGCAAAATAAATAAAACTTGAAGTAGAGGCAAGAAATTGGTTTACTCATATTTAGACAATGAATCAGATGAGTAGAGTAAAATAAACTGAATAAGGATTTTGTTGAGGCATGTATGAATAGTTTACTTAAGACGGATTCATCCCGAAAATCAAATAAATAGATGCTCAACAGTAAATCAAATAAATTTTGTTGAACAACAGGATTAAAATCCTGAAACAGAATTATAGGCCCGATTTTTGTTCACAGACATATCATAATTTCGTTCGGTACCTTATTTATCGCAACGAATTTTAGTCAAAACTAATATCCGACAATTGAGTAATTTCTGTTAAACGGCAGGAATTTAGTAAAACTAAAACCCGAAACAAAAATTCACAATCAATACTATTTTGTTAAATTCGTTAAATGTCAGGATTTAAAACTGAAATCCGAAATAAACCCAACTTTTGTTGGACAACGAGATTAAAACCCAAAACATAACTAATTTCTGTTGAACGGTGAGAATTTAATAAATTAATTCTCGAAACATAACTAACTTCTGTTGAATGGTGGGAATTTAATAAAATCTGAAACAATTGTATAATCTCAATGTATAAATACACATACCTTTTTGATTTCTTGATCGAAATTCACCAAGTCGCCGTTAGTTAAAAGAAAATTTCATGCGGTGACCGAATCACCAAGGCTTGTCCTTAGTTTTGGAACTTTGAAACATAAGGAGTTCTAGACGAAAATTTGTCAGTTTCCTCCCATCCTCGTTGAAGATCGACTTTTAAATTTTTCATCCAATAAACTACGATCAGTAAGCAAACTTAGCAAGACCATAAGGACTTGTTGAAGAGAACATTTTTCATTTCCCCATGAAACAAATTAGCAATACGGTAAGGATTCATAGGGTGTATATATATAACAACTTCTAGAAATTATAGTTTTCAAAGAAGATGTTGAATGCCCTTGTCCTCAATACTCTTTTTTGTTAATCTGCATAAAGCAAGACATGAAAACAAACTAAATGAGTGAAAAGTTAAACTCCAAACCTGCATTTCAGACACAAGAAGAGAGATAAATGGATGTGGGGTTTTCATCCTGATCTTTTTGGTGGATAGTTGTCAAATCATTGGATTTAGGAGTTCGTCTCTTTTTCGTGGATGTCTGGATCCCTTTTTAATTTCCTTTCAATCGAATAAAGCTCGGTATTTGTTTTGCAACTGTTCACCATTCGTTATAACAATCACTCCTTATCAAGTTACACCAAAGATTATCCTTGGTTTGGAATCTGCAAAAATGTTTCACCGTGAACCTTTGCAATTCAGTGGTCCACTCAAGAACAATGTAATTTGCAAGTTATCCACGTAAGAAATAAGTAATCTATAGTTTATCCATGCAAACTAAAAGTTGTGTCGATTCACGTCCGATTCACCATAGCGGGATCACAATAGATCACACTTCTCCTCATGGTTTGTTACGTTAATCTGCTTAGTTTGGAACTGAAGAAATAATAATTCGTTCACCCATCTCGGAATTAAAAAATAAGAAATAATATGTCCTAATATTGTTAGACAAAATGGTTAATCAGAGATAAAAATAATAATAATAAATATTATTATATAATCGAACGAAGCAAAATAAATAAAACTTAAAGTAGAGGCAAAAAATTGGTTTACTCATATTTAGATAATGAATCGGATGAGTAGAGTATAATAAACCGAAGAATGATTTTTGTTGAGGCCTGTATGAACAGTTTCATTAAGATAGATTCGTCATCTCCTCGGTGCTTTGAGTAACGTTAGACGTCGGTCTCCCAGAATACAACAACAAACGATCACAACAGTAAACACAACCGTAGTGATCAGTCGAACACAATTTTGCTTTTTTCTATCACCGGAAAGAATAAATTTGAAAGAAATTTTTTAAGTGATTTCCTAATTCAACTTTGTGAATTGTGTCTTAAAGTTGTCTCTCAATGTTGTATCTAAGATTGTGCCTCAACTAACCTATATATAAGGGAGAGGAGATTAATCAAAAGGTTATGACATTTTGATGAAGAGATTTGTTGAAAAACAAATAGGTATAATTGAATTGATAGAATTTTATATCAAATAATAAGTCTATTTACCCAATGACATAATTTATTATTAAAAAACATCAATTTTATTCAATTATTTATTAATTTTTCCAACAGTTTGTTTAGACTTCCCCCATCTCTAGCTTTAAACTTGTTTCTGCCAAGAACGTTATTGTACAATATTATCTTCTCTATCTCCATCTCTCCCCCTCCCTGTTTATTCAAATATGTGCCGGATTTCCGGATAATATAATATAATATAATCTGGAGCCATAAAAAAAACCATCATTAGCATGGTGAAGAAATGCTTTTCCGGATCGGTGGATCGAATCCTTAATAGCTACCGCAGGCAGTATATTTCGGTTCCTCTTGGGATACAGATAAACAGAAATCCGTAAGATCTGTACTAAAGAACTAGACGGAAGGAAAAGGAAGCCGAAATTGTTAATTAACCTGATGTCGGTCGACTTTTCATATTTGCGATCAGTCCTATATTCCTTAAAGTCGTTACATGAGCAAGAACATAAGATAAGACCAAAGAGAAAAATGTAACATTTAGAAAGCTTCTCAGTAGCTATTCATATTGTATTCTCAGATAATCAAGAAAAAAATCACAATCAAAGATACGAACCCTTCCTCTTTCTTTCGGTTTTGTGTAGTTTTACGAGGAGGAAACCGTTCCCAGAAAATGATCGGTGTTGTCACAACTAAACTCGGTAAGCAGATATTTAGAGGAGCCAAAAATGACAACACTCAGAGGATACTGCAAACTATTCCATTGTTTTAAAAAGAATAATCCATAATATCCTTGTTGAACAAAAACTCAGACAAGTAACTAAACCAGAATCATCTTAAAAAGAATTCAATTATAATATGAACTATATATATACGTGTCTGTGTTAATTAAGGAATAAATTAGTACATACTGCAACTGTATGAAAACCTATAAACTTGAATCATATAGAAGGTAAACTTTTTTTTATAAGAATTTCATGCCTCGTTGAAAACTCACTTCTTGATTAATGGAGCTAGTAGGATAGTTCTTTAATCAGCGGAAGGAGAAAAAGAGTGCCTTAGGATTTTATTAAACATAGAAATTACATAAGATACAACCTGGTAAACACCCTGAACAAAAACAAATAAACAAGAAACAACCCTAAACCACCCATAAACAACAACAAATAAACAAGAAACAACCCTAAACCACCCATAAACAACAACAATAGTTCAACCAATTCTTTCTTTAGCTAAGACATCAACCTCTAAAATAGATGTCCTATTAACCAATCAACAACACCTTCTAATGCAATAAAAACCAACATTTACAAGCAAAAACTAAAATAAACGCTTTCGAATACAACTGTCGAGCAATCAAGATCCAATTGAAGGAACAAGTTCTAATGAAATATCGCAATCTTCGGGGACTCAAGAATTAGATTTGAAGGAAGGATCAACATCATGCACCATGATTTTGAATAAATTATCGCCGACCTTCAACTCTAACAACTCATCAATTCCCCCTTGAGGCTTTGTGAGTATTTGAATTTTATTGCTAATAATTTGTCCCACTTAGTTGTAATGTTTTTGAAAGTATTTTAATTCCAAGCGTGAAAAGAAATACCTTCGCAAACTAACCAGACACGACGGCACTCCACCACTAGGCTCTCTGACCAAGTTTCCACTCTGAAAAATCATTCTGCAAGAGTCTCTAGTTTATCATCCTTCGTGATTCTCAACGAATCAAAGTTTTCAAAAACCATTAGAACCACATTTCCAGCAGTTCTCATTAGCGTGAAGGCAGTTAGTCCTTTGGCTTGAATTTGGTTAACAAGATTACCAATTTTGATAAAGTTATTGCACCGGTGGCAACTGAGCATAATCCCTTCAACGGTGGCAACTGAGCAACAAAAGCATTCCAAGGAGGGTAACCAACGCCACTTCCACGCACCCGACCATCCAAGCGCAGAGATAAATATTTGTATAATGAACACCACACAAGTAAATTTAACTAGCACGGGGATTTATATCGACGATTTTCTAAGCATTTGTTCGAAAGGAATATAGGACTTTTCACATTTGCGATCAGTCCTATATTCCTTTGTTGGTTTGGTTCGTTACATTCCTTTCTTACAGTTAATATTGGTGTTCCCTGGAGAGATGTGATCAATAAAATGCCACGCCTGCCTGTTTCTGTCATTGTTACCCGTGATATTTTTGTACCGGAACCAGGATGGATCCATTTTTATGGGTTCAAGCCCATTTTTATGGAAGCTTGAACGTAGTTGTTACAGATGGTAATTGAGTAGGATAGGTCAGATTTTTTATAAGTTCGATTAAAAAATATATATATCTTCTATCCGAATTAATCCAAAATATATATACATTCAATCTGGCACGAATCGAAGAACATATTTCCTCTACCTAAATCTGATTAAACTCTAAATTTTGGAATATAAATTTGATTTGACCGATGTAGAGGTAAAATAAATATCTAATTAAAAAAATCTATGTAGAGGAGGTATTATAGCAATTATACATAAATTTATATATAAAAAAATTATACTATTACCCTAGGCTCGTTCGGAGGTTTTTCACCCTCCACCCAAACTCAATCCGAACTCACCCTATTAAAACCCGACTCAAACCCGATCCTGCTCTGGTTTTTCTTAAAAAAAATAACCCTATCAAGTCAGAGCGAAACAAAATTTATCTATTTCGAGTTAAATTGCCATCTCTAATAGTTGGGGTTGTAGTTTGACAAGTTCGTTTCATAAAAGCTTTTACAAATTGCACAGGGAAATATCATGGAAACATTCATATTGCAATTTGTCAAAGAAGCTGGGAAAGAAAGGTCTTCCATCTAAGAAATTTCAAAGCCGAAACATGGACCGCCAATGAGAAGAGAAAGTCTATAAATACGTGAGCTTTGACATGGCAGGGCAGCAAAAGCATAAAAAAATTTCAACTGAAAATGAAACAAGTGAAGGTTTTAAGGTCTAGGCCGAGTCCATATGTTTTCAGGGTTGAATGGGCTCTGGAACTCAAGGGTGTGGAGTACGAATACATAGGTGAAGATCTGTTTAATAAGAGTGACATGCTGTTGAAGTATAATCCAGTTCATAAGAAGATCCCAGTTCTTGTTCACAATAAGAAACCAATTGCAGAATCGGCTGTTATTCTCGAATACATTGGGGAGAAGAAATATTTTGGTGGTGAAGAGATTGGGATGTTGGATTTGGCCATGGGGTGGATGACAGCCTCTTTTGGTGTCTCTTGGTCATCGAAGAAATAGTTGACGTCAAAATACTCGACGCAGAGACGTTCCCTCAATTACATCCATGAATTCAGAGTTTCAAGGCTCATCCTGTGAGAAAAAAAAAACCCTTCCTGGCCAATGGCCATGATCAATTGCTGCAAAATTACACAGAGAAAAGAAAGATGTTTGTTGGACGCCCAGGAGACCCACATGAAAATGATCCCTAATTTAATCCACGAAATCGAACCAAATTATATATTTTTTTATTGTTTTATAATCTGAAATTTTCGTTTGATATTACTTTGCAATGTGTAACATTGAGCCATTAAGGCATTCGATGCCAATAATGCAAAAGACAACACAAATGGCAAAACATAACACTTGCACCAGGCTTTGCATGGTGACCATCTTAAAAGCATATAAAATCACACCATCCCCAAACCTTAAAACATCTCCCAGTTTCAATCCTACAAGGCCATGATAATGCATTATTACCCTACGGGACGTCCTAACCCCAATATCCATCATCGGAAGAGAAGTCCTCGTCAATTCTTTTCTTATTACCTGTTTATGCGGAAGGAGAAACAAAAAAAGCAATCTTTAAACACGATAAATTCGAAAAAGTCTCCATTTACAACAAAACATAGTAATGCTACCAAGTACTTGTAAACTTGCTGTCTGCAACATTATTTTTTATTCATTTCTTCTTTTCCAGAAATTCATGAATCGCTAAACCCAACTGGTCACATTATCAAACATGGTTTCACATGAGATAACATGAGAGTTTCATAATTTTAATATGTATAGTTTGAATGGAGAGATTTCTAAACCATAACTTAGGCGGTTCCGAAGTTAATAAATGTAATAGAATGAAAATTTTCCCTTATAGAGACAGGAAATAGCATGCCATTGAAATAGGATCCAAAGTTGGCCACAAGATCATATCAAGTGAGCTAGTTTTCCTTACTTTTAGCAATAGCTTCTGACATCAAAGATTGCAGTTCTCCTTTACGATGTAGTTTGACAGTATCTGCAATTGAACACGAAGCGACGATAACTGAAGATCTATTTAATCAAATTAAAAAACAGTAAGTGTCTCTAAGTCCAAGTAAACCCAAGTTACTCATACGGAAAAAGCACAAAAATAACTATACAGCCACCATTGCCTTAATGGATTGTATCATTCAAGAGAAGGAAATGCAGTAATACCTGTACAGCCACCAATGTGTTTACCCCCTGTGTGAAGCATATAAAGGTTAGGGCATTAGTTATCTAACAGGTCGCTTTAAATAAAGTTCCTAAGGTTGTAGCTCAAAAGTATAACACTGCAGGCACCAAAAGCAATATTTTTTTAGGTCTCTGCAACTTCTTTTAGAATCATCACCAAAAAAGGCAGTTATTTTCAAAAGTAATTCTTTTAGCCAGAACATTAACAAAACTTACTTTCTACCGTGTTTCATTATTCCATGTTCAAAATTTCCAAAAATAAATAAATAAAACAGAAAAGCCAAGTGCCAAGTCATGATGCTCATACTGATTTTCTTATTAGACTATGATAAACTTCCATTCTGTTTGTAATAACAAGCCTTACGACACAGCCTTATAATTCTGCCTTTCATAGAATGGTAAACATTAAAGATAATACATGGAATGGCTGAGAGTATTTAGAACAGATGCTACTTTGTAATCACCTTAGCTTAATAAATAAATAAATAAAAGATAATAAATGGACTGGTTGGTATTTCATACGTATGAAAGCAATAAGCCATGCATACCATTTTACAAACAGAGTTCTATATTGGTTAGGTACATACTAATTCAATAAACTTACCAATAAAAACATTTGGAACGGTGTGTTGCCCTGTAAGCCGCTCCAGCAACTTCTGCACTTGGGGACCTTGGGGACCTGAAAAAGATAAAACTCTTTATCATAAGCAACATCAATATTAAGAAGAAAAGTAACAGGCCGCACAGTTCAGTTTGAGATATTTGGAGAAAGGAAACATAAATTACAACCCAGAAATCATGTTCTTTTGAATAAGATTAATGTTATATGAACTCAGTTTCCAGCTTCCCAATCATTTTTTCAAAGAGAAAGTATCACACGTGATCAACGGTGACTTACTGTTACGGTTTCAAACTAGGACATGAAAATTATTGAAACTGATTAGTTATCTTATTGGTTAAAATTTTCAAGGTTACAATAAAAAGCCAAAAGAGGTTATGAATCCAAGTCTTTCATTATTTAAATTTTAAATTTTAAACCGGTTGTAGAAGTGTACTGAAGAACTACAAGACATACTCAAATTTCATTATAACTTCATCTACACCGTGAACTTAGTTTCCCTCAAATTTCCATTCTTTATTGTTTGTTTCTATGATTAAGCAGAAAACATACCAATTTTCAAAGTTGATATTTTTCAAATTTTGCATGACTCGTATTCATTGCATTCATCATCTCACTCTCAATTTTATTAATCAACTTGACAAAGCCAAGAAGCAAAGATGGAGTTTCTGCTAAGAATAATAGTTCATCCATCAGAAACTCACGTGGTTCCCCACAATTGAAACGTTCAGTCATCTTCAATGAATCACATTTATCAAGATAAATGCATTTCTAAACTATATGGCAAACTCAAATTCACCAAGATATCAAAAAGCACTCACTTTTCATCAATTAATCCAATAAAGTTCAAAATATTGGTCAAAGCAAACCAAAATCACAAGACAGGAAAATAGTTTCTTCGATGGCCAGGATCTAGACGTCTCCCGTCATCAAAGAAATTGTCTTTGGATACTCACATACCCCCGAAGCTTTTTCAACAGAGTGCACCTCCCTCAATTTGAACCAAAGGAGGTACACATTTGGGTGGAACAGGTGGGACTCTAGGTGCCAAAAAGGAAATACCTTTCCTTTGACTTAATAGATGTAAGGATAGGTATGGTGATAGCCAGATATCGATATATGTAATTTAGGTATTTTATTTATATTTTCTATTGCTAATCTGTTTTGCCTAAATTTATAAGATTTGCTCCTATCATAAAATTCTGCTTACGTCCCTATAGTATCTCTAAAACATTTTGCAATATTTGAGTAGCCTAAGGAAAATAAATAAAATTCATAGTATAAACATAACAAAAGCAAAATTTTGAAACAAAGACTAACCCAATTCATCCAATTCAATAACCAAAGGCTCCACACCAAGTTTCTTGAACAATGATTTCACCTCCGAGGAATACCTGCGAACGAGGAAAACAAAAAAAAAACACATCGCAAATCTCTCTACAAAAAGTACGATTCACACAAAAAAAATCACCAAAATTATTCAAAATTTCCAACAACAAAAAGAACATGAAAAAATTAGGAGAATGAGATTTGAACCCACGAGCACCAAGTCTTGGAGTAAACAACAACTGGGTTACTAGCCACGGACTTCTTAACACTCTCCTCGAGCCTGGACCCAAATGAGGAAGCCATGCTCCGGACCAACATGGGTTTGCATTTCTTCGTCGAGCCATTGATGCCCAAGCTCAAGCTGGTTGCTGGCGAAGCTCTGCTGCTTTGAATATGAAGAAATTCGGTGCATGGAGGGTGTGAGAAGGACCCAGGACGGTCTACAGGAACATAGCGCAGCTTTGCTAGATGAGATGTAATTGCCATGGTTATTGATTTCCGGTTAATTTGTCTTTTTGTTTGTTTGTTGAGATTTTGATCGTTGATCTCTTGTTTTTAAGCAGCTATTTTTGGAATTTTACTCATTTGTTTCGCTCTTATTGTTCCGGGTTGTGGGCTGGGTTTTGGTTGCTTGCTTGCAAATGAAAAAGTTGAGCCTCAAAAATGCTCTTAACTTGTACGTTTCATCCTACAATATTAAACTTATGAGTGACATTAGTATCTAAACTATTAATTTTAGTTTATTTTAATATTTAAATATTTATTTTTTATAATTATATTTAAATTTTAGTTTTTTTCTTATTTTAGTATATGTTAAAAATTTAAAGTTAAATTTTGAAAAAAAAATTAAAAGTTTAGATATTAAAACGGATCAAAATTGATAGTTTAGGTACTAAACACGTTAAGTTTTTAACGAAGAGTACTAAAATGAAACAAAAACTAAACTTTAGGTATCATTTTAAAAAATGAATGTTTACATACTAAAACAGATCAAAATTAATAGTTTAGATACTAAATATATAGTTTAGCCTAAACTTATAAGGCTTTTTTGTTTGTTAAAAGTTATTATAATATTTCAAAATTAGAAATTTAATTCCTATAAAATTTAATTGTTTAATATAAATCAAGTTAATTTAGTGGTTAAAAAGTTATTGTTATCCTTAGAGATCCAGAGTTCGAACGTCAATGGTTACATAATATTTGAACATTCATTGTCATATGATTGAGAATCTCTAGAACATATACTACTGTTTGTAATAAAAAATATTATTATTTGATTTTATTTAAATGTCATTGTTCTCTTATAATTCAAAACAGTAAGAAATTTATGATTGAAATTGATCAAAGAATTCCAATAAATTTCATTGCATGACAGTGTAGTGATGTCAGTGTCCTTATGCTTTAAGGATTTCGACAAAATTACTATAATATATTGCAAGTTTTGGAATGTGCTTTACAGAAAACTTGAACTGTCAATTTGATAAATGAGAGCTTTGAGTACTCGACACGGGCGAACCCAACCTCTTATGGTCCACAATTGCCTTCCCACCCATGTGGGAACCCATTCTTGCGAAACAATTCACCTTCCTCTACATCATTCAACTATTTGTCAAATGTATACAAAACTCAAGAAAAAAATCCCTTTTTCCAACAATTTTCCGACGTTTTCTCACCTGAAGACATGAATGAACATTGCCGCTATATTTGGTTGCCAAAACAACCGAGTCCAAGTCGAGTTTTTCGCCATCGACGAGCTCAGTTTGTCTATACGTCAAGCTTAAGCTTCATCTTTCGAAGCAATTCTATCAACTCTATAACAAACCACCTTTCCCTGATGACTTCCCTGAATACCCGACAAATTAAGAAACAGTTCATTGAATACCTTGAATGATGTGCTAATCATTTCGAAACCAACCCAGAGTTCAATGAGTGTGTGCAGTCAGCTAGGTATGCTGAGACCAATGTTTGTCAAGACTATCCTCACGAGAGCCTTACTTGAGCCGCTCGTGATGACGATCTTGACCCTTCAGAAACCACTGGTTTCATTGTACCTGGTTTACTGCATGTGCTGATTGAGCTTGGACTGATATCGAAATGCCTGGCAAATGGTTTTCAAGGTATTCAATGAACTGTTCTTTGTTGAATACTCAGTGAAATCCTAGGGAAAAATGACGTTTAGAGAGCCGACAGAGTTGCTTCGGAAGATGAAGCTTAAGCCTGTCGTAGGCGCGTTTTTGCCACAAAGAAAGACATTGAGAAAGATGTTTGTCGAGAAGAGAAGTGGATGATGTTGATTTGGGGAGAGGAGGGCTTTAAATAGGGATAAGCCGGTGTGAAAGGGACGTGATCACATTCTGAAACATATGTGAAAACTGGAAGGACCCAATTCTTTGGTTGACCGGCTTTCCGAATTTGCTGGGATTGTAGTGTAATACTACCTAACCAACAGGGTCTAAAAGAAAGCCCAAAGGGGCCAATTCTAAATCATAAGTCAATTGCCAACTTTTGTTATTTTATCAAGGGTAAAGTACGCAAAATGGTGTACGAATGGTTATTGAATATAGGGTGTTATTTTGTTAAGTTCATTGATTATATATTAAAAGTTATAAAACTCGTCTTTTTCTATTATTAAAATGATGGTTGTTTGAGTTATATGTTAATCTTTTATCTAGAATATGATAAAATATGATCGTATAATTGTTTGAGTTGTATTTTGTGAATCTAATCTATATTTACATTATGTCGTCGAGCCAATGCTTGAAATATCATGTCGTAGAGTTGGTGCTTGAAAACAATGACGGTCCCAGTAGACACTATTAAAATATAATTTTATCATGTTACAGTCAGTAAATTAACATCCAACTAAGAGGATCGTCATTTTTTTAACAAAAAAAAGGACTAGTTTAGAACATATGAACAGTGTGATGATCATTTTGTAACTTTAAATAATCGAGGGATTTAATAAAATTCATTTCATAGTCGAATAACTTAATAAAATGATGTCTATTATCAGGAAATCATGTGTACTTTACCCTTTTATGAAATACAAATAGAATCTCATGTATCAAGCAAAGATGGGGTTTCTTGGTTCATTGGGCAGAAGCAAAATCATTTGAACCCACAAGTACCACCGAGTCTTGGAGTGAACAACAACTGGGTTATTAGCCACGGTCTCCTCAAGCCTGGGCCCAAATGATGCACCCACGCTCCGGACCAACAAGGGTTGGCATTTCTTCGTTGAGCCATTGACTCCCAAGCTCAAGCTGGTTTATGTTGAAGATGGAGAAACTCGTTGGGCTTTGCTTGTAAATGAAAAAGTTGATTGGGTTGGTTTGAAACTTTAGAATTCTTTATTTGATTTAGAAATAAATGAGTCATGAGCCTTAAGTAGATCTTTTTTTGGATAAATAAAAGAATATTATTACCCAAAAGGAGCAATAACCTGCCACAATACAATCATCAAATAAACCAGTACAAACCAGTATAGAGAATGAACAACCAACTTACAGAAAAGGTTAATCAATACCCCAATGATTATAAAGAGAAATATTAACTCTATCTAGTTTATTAATTTTCCTATCTCTTAGTTGAATACTAACAATCTCCTTGATTGTTTTAAGAATATCATCAACTTTTCTTGAGCTACATTGGAATAACATTTTGTTTCTTTCTTCCCAAAGAGAATAAATAAAAGCAGTCCAAGCAAGCTTCAAAATAGTAACTAGGAGGGACTTACCTTTCCAAGCAACACATGCCCAAGACAACAAATTATCCCAAGACAATGGAGATCTCTGCAAGTCGGTGAGTTGTAGGATGTCTTTCCAAAGTGAACTTGACAGCTGACATTCAATGAACAAGTGGTCTCTTGTTTCCTGGGTCGTGTTACATAAGAAACATAATCTGTCGCTAACAATTCCCATGTGTTGGAGTCTGTCTTTGGTTGGAAGTCTGTCCAAAATGGCCATCCAAGCAATCATGCTATGTTTGGGAATGTGTAAAGGAAACCATATCAAGTTATGCCAAGGAACTTTGTCTTGATTTGGTCGAAGCTCTTCCCATATTGTGCGAATTGTTGTTTTTTCCATTGAAAGAACAACATTGGCATCTCTCCTTAGTTTAAGAAGTTTTCTGAAGCTCCAGCTAGCATTAGTTCCACTTTCAATTTGCCAGAAGTCTCTGTCATGTAATACATAGTTTTTGAGCCAAGCAACCCACAATGAGCCCTCACCCGCTAGGATACTTCTAATGAGTTGGATCATACACGCCTTATTCCATGTTTTTATATCATTTAAACCAAGACCTCATTCAGATTTTGATTGGCATATAATTCCCCAACTTACTCTAGCTCTAGTAGCTGCTTTATCGGAGCCTTTCCAGAAGAATCAAGAACATAGTTGCTCGATCCTTGTAATAATAGATTGAGGTAAAAATAGTTGCCTGCACCAGAAGTTAGCAACACTGAACAAGACAACTCTTATAAGTTCGAGTCTACCTGCATATGATAGGAGTTTCCCTGACCAGTGATAAAGCTTGGACTTAATATAATCAATGAGAACAACACAATCCTTTTCGAAGAGTTTCCTTGTTACCAAAGGGAACCCTAAGTATCTCACAGACAAGCATCCTTGTTTGAACCCCATAGTTTTGTGAATAGACTCCAAAATATTTATAGGAATACCAGCAGCATAGAATTCGCATTTGGCTGCATTAAGCTTGAGGCCAGACATTTCATAGAATTTGTCTAGGACAGTAGTGACTCCCATAACAGATTCCAGATTACCTTTGCAAAAGATAAGAATATCATCCACAAACATTAAATGAGTGAGACCTATCTTCTTACATTTAGGGTGGTAGCCAAACATACCTATTGCAGCTGCTAAATTAAGAATTTTGGACAACACATTCATTGACAGCACGAATAAAAAAGGGGATAGGGGGTCACCTTGCCTTATTCCTCTTTCACCCTTGAAGTATCTGATCAGACTTCCGTTGAAAGAGATGGAGTATCTTGCATCTGAGTAGCAAGCTTCAATCCAACCAATGAAGGTTTTTGGTAGTTCTAAAGCATTTAGGATTGTTGAAATGAAGCCCCAATGGAGAGTGTCAAAGGCCTTTTGGATATCAATCTTCAAAGAACATCTTAGGGAAATTATTTTCCGTCCATAACCTTTCACCAGTTCCTGTGTGAGAAGAGTATTGTCAACGATACTTCTTCCTTTTATGAAAGCATATTGATTCAGATTAATTATCCTGGGGAGAAGATTGGTCAGCCTTTTTACTAAAATCTTAGTAATTGTCTTGTAAACAACAGAGCAGCAGGAGATTGGCCGGAAGTCTTTAACCATGCTTGGATTTGGTACTTTAGGCACCAATGCAATTGTAGTAGCATTGAAAGCTGGTAAAAGGAATGAATGTTGAAAGAAGTATTGTATTGCGCTCACCACATCGTCTCCAACCACATCCCATGAATATTTGAAAAAATAAGGTGTGAATCCATCCGGGCCAGGAGTTTTTTCATTGCCTTGATTGAAAATGGCTTCTTTAATATCCTTTCTTGATACTTCCTTGATTAGGCCAGAAGAAGCTTCAGAAGGCATTGTAAATTGTAGTAGGTTTTTAAGAAGAATAGGGTCGCAGTCGGTTATATTGAGGTATAATGTACCTATAAGCTTGGAGAAGAAAACAATCACCTCAGAGGCCATTGTGTCGAATGATTCAAGTCGTCTTCCTTGCTCGTCAACTAGCACCCTAATTATGTCCCGCTTGTGTTTGATTGCCACGGCCGAGTGGAAATTTTTTTAGCATTTGTCACCCTCATTTAGCCACTGAGCTTTAGCCTTTTGTTTTAAGAACATTAGCTCATCTTATTCAAGAGATTTTAACTCTTCTTATAGGTAATGCTCTTTCTCGCATGCACTTTCACCTCTTAAAGTTGATAGTTACTGCTGTTCCAACTCTGTCCTCTTAATCTTTACATGAGTTGATATGTCACTGTAACATTCATTATTGAGATTCTTTAAGAACAATTTGAGGCGTTTGAGTTTGTAGAAGAGAACGTGCATGGGGTTTTCCTGAATAGTTTATTCCCAAGAATGCTGAACCACTTTCAAGTAATTAGGGTGCATAGTCTAAAAATTGAAGAATTTGAAAGGCTTTGGTTTATTAGCTTGGATCTCTTTGTTGAGGCAAACTAAAGCCATACAATGATCGAAGGGTCATGGAGCAAGGAATTCAACAAATGAATTTTTGAAGTCTTTCACCCATATAGCGTTTATAAGTATCCTGTCAAACTTCCTTGTAAGGAATGAGTTTTGTTGTTTGTTGCTCCAAGTGAACAATGGTCCAAAAAATGGATGATCATGAAGAGCTAACTCTTGAGTGACATCTTTGAATTCTTTCATTTCAGGAGATACGATTGGGCCCAAGAGATCATGATCTGAGCTTTCGTTAGGATGTAAAATAATATTGTAGTCGCCTCCTAGAATCTAAGAGAGAGGACCACAGTTCCTGTCAAGTGCTCGCAGATGATGCCAGAGATGTTTCCTGGTAGTTCCGTCATTGCTGCCATAGACTGTTGTTATAAGAAAATGAATGTCTTGGTAGGATCCTTTGGCAGAAACACATTGGGCAGAAATATCACAGATTTGATAGGTCCATGTCTTTTTTCCATAGAAGCCAGATCCGCCCATTTACAACAAACTCGTAATTTGTGCAGACGTTCCATCTTGAAAATTTTGTTTGGAATAACACTGTTGCCTTTTCCTCTTTAACACGTGTTTCCAGTAAGCAGAGAACATCAACATTATTTTGATAAACCCTTTGAAGTACTTTGTCTTGCTTTAGAGGACTGTTTAGCCCTCTTATATTCCAAAAGCAGAAATTCATTAGGTAGGAGAGTTTGAAGCACCCCCATTACCTCCTGTTCTTGAACTGATTGCTTTATCTAAGTGATATTTCTTTTTCTTTTTAAGATCATTGAGCAGACTAGCAACACCTAAAGATTCAGTACGAACTTTCCTGGCTTGACCCTCTAGGACGGATGAATTCTCTTCAATTGAATTAAGGATGTCAAATTTATTTCTTGATCCAGCTAGGATAGCTTTTGAGTGGTCCTTTACTGGTCTGCTTCTTCCATGTGTAGAATTGGATGATGGTTGTGTTTCTTTGCAGGCATCAGTTTTGTATGATTGTTCAGGAGCAATCGACTCATCCTCACAATCAGAATCTTTAAGGGCAGATGAGTGTTCTGCTTGTAAGTCCTCAAGTTCTGGAAATGTTTGGCCTGCATCGTTGTGATTTCCCTTCGCTACAGAGGCTACATGAACTGAATTTGTTTCAATGAGCACTGGACCACTTCTTATCACAATTACATTTATGTTTTCCAGCACTGGAATATTTATAACTGTTCATGTATGTTTTTGCAAAGATTCCTGGTCCGGGAATGTTTGGCCTCTGTCGATATGATTTTGCTCAGCAACAGTAGCAACGTGAACTGAATTAGTTCCAGTGAACACTGGATCACGTTCTAGCCCACCTTCGTTTGTGTTTCGCAGTACTGGAAGCTTAAGAACTACTTTCTCCTGTTCTGGCAAAGTTTCATTTCCTGATGCTGGTGCCTCTGATTTTTCATTTAATGTTCTCTTTTTTATCCAAACTTTTGTTGCAACCGGTGCTGTATCTAATTTTTCGAAGCAGTTTTTCTCTATATGGCCAAAAACTCCATAATTTCTATAGTTAGGTGGTAGCCAAGGAACATCAACAGAAACATAAATTGCTCCCCCATCTTTGAGAATTACATCAACGTGTTTGGGGAAAATATCAGTAGCACCAATTTCGATACAAATTCTGGCAAATTCCAGTCTTGTTTTTGAAGCAGTGATCGAATCCATTAAGATAGGAACCCCTATTGTGCTGGCAATATAACTTAGTCCAGATCGAGAGTAGAGCTCAAGAGGCATGTTGAATAAGTGAACCCAGACTGGATTTTTGACAGATCGAAATTAAGCCTTTTAAGGTTTGGCTCCCATTTTCTAAGAATCAGAGGCTTATTAAGAATGTCCCAAGGACCATTGTGCAAGACCCAATCTCTAGCAATCTCAGAGTTGAAAGAAAAAATGAAGAGGTTTCTTCCTGCTTTACTAACCTGGACACGAGAGCCCTGAGTTGCGTTTGTCCATAAGTTGTTGGTGATCCGTTGAATTGAATCGAGGTTTAGAACAGCCCCGAGAAGTTTCCCCACTAAGGAGAGCTTCCATTCAGAGATTCTGGCATCAAGGACTTCGGACGGGGGATGAACCGTTGGAATCCCTTCTTTGAAAGATGGGGGGAAATTCCAGTTCTTGTCCATCTGAGCATCTAAAAAGTTTCCTCCACTCCATTTGAAGAACGAAAGGCAATTGCTTTAAAAGGATTGAACAAAAGCAGATGAAATTTGCGGGGAGAAGTCGATTGATTCACTGGCGACGCAGAATGATTCTCTTAAGTGGGTCTTTTACCTTGTACGTTTCGTCCTACAATATAAAACTAAATAAACCAAATTCTTTTGATAGTCATTTTTAATCCCTTAATTTTCAAAGTTTAAAATTTAGGTCCTAATCCAAATGTTAGTTATTATACTCAAACCTTATTGTCACCATCATAGTCTCCAAGGTTATAGACCCATATATTGAGAAATACCCAAAAGAGTTTCTAAAAACTCTTGTAGGACTAGGAACAACTATTCGGGATAGTAAGAAATGACACAAGACTTAAACATTTATCTTAGACATCGACGAACAAACAACCGGAGAATTGTGACGAATTCAATGTCCATGCCATTGCATGTGATCCTTGCTTCGCTCCGGTCCACCCTGCCGGAGTCTCGAGTCGACCCAACCATGTGAAAGAAGAAAACAAGTTCTGACTTACACAAATATATTCCACAAGATAGAAAAGTGACGGGGGTCCATTTGCAAACTAACTTGCCATTTTGGCAAGGGGAAATGGTAGCAGCCCCATGTGTTTATTTTCAGTATTGTTTAACTGTGATGTCCAAGTTCTAAGGGACTAGAAACATGCATATTACTATGGTTATCAGTGATGTTCAAATCATAGGGGCATGGAAGAAACATGTAGATAAACCGGCGAAAGTGTCTTAAGAGCAACAAGAAACTGATTAGTTGCTGCTGTGTAAGGGAATTCAAAGCTCCCCCTGTTGTAATATCTGAATCACTGTCTTTGCAAACCAATTCAGGATGTCTATATGTTCTACTAGGGGAATGTGAACAGAACAGCCCCATGGCTCATTGCATATCTAACAGGTTTATGATTCGAATCGGTCGTGGACTCTGGGAAATATATCAGAATTGTTCTAGGTTCTCAGTTGTGGGATATACTTTACAGAAAACATCTAAGTGTAAATTTGGAAAAATAAGAGAAGAATGTGGTGGTGGGATCTGAGTTAAGTTCCATTGTCCCTCATGATCATGTGAGTATGTGACCTACAACCCCTCATAATCTGTAAATCATTGAATCTGTTGTGCCCTTTCCTTTATTTTAGAGCTTGTTTGATGCCTATTTGTAAGCATATATGTCATGTAACTCGCAAGAGAGTCAATAGGTAAAGTATTGTGAAAGGAATTTAAGTAAAAAGGCTCCAAGAATCTTAAACTTAATTCAATTGGTACATGCAAAGGTTTCATTTATTAAGTTTAGGGGTTTGAACATTGAGTATTTCTAATGTATTTAGGGTCGAATCTTAGTATTCACAATAATAAGGAAGAACGGGGCAGGATCTATTGCGTAAAATTGTTTAGTTGTATATCTTTTTAGGACCATTGGATGAGAGAAATTAAAGACTGAGAATAACAATAGAAAATGAGACATAGTCACTGGGCGGAAACAAGGAGCCTTTGATTTTTCTCAATCCAATTATCCTAAAAAGTGTAAAACTAAAATGGTTTTACACAGTGTAAGTGGATCCTAACCCGATTTGACTTAAAATTTTGATTTTTTAGGGTAAACTATACAAATAGTCCCCTATTTTTAGGGTCTAATCGACTTTTGTCACTAATTTAAAAATTAAGGTGAAAGGATCCTAACTCGTTCTATTCTAGTCCCTCAACCATTAATTTTTCATTAACCCCTTTTTGTTTAAGTCCATGATATGGCCGAGGGACTAAAATTGAATAGATCGATAATGTTAGAGACTAAAATTGAATGGATTGATAATATTAGGGACCATTCCCCCTTAATTTTTAAAATAGTGACCAAAGTCGGTCAAATAAAAAACATAGGGGACTATCTACATAATTTATCCATTTTTTAATATTAAGTTATTCAAATTAAATTATTTAGATTTAGAGTTTGAATTTCAAAAGTTTAAATAACTGAAAAATTGAATATTAACAATTTGTTGTTTTTGTACTTTAATTTTAATTAGATAAATTGATTATTGTGTGATTTAGTCTCTCGTCCTTTTGTTCTTTCATTCTTTTTTTTTTAATTTTAAGTTCATTTCTTTATCTAATTTAAATCACATATTCATCAATCACGGCAGACTACATGTGTAATTTCTATTCTTCTTTATGATAATATTTTTTTTTCGTAATTGAGTCTCTTAATTTTTTTATTTTATTCAATTTAATCATCTAACTGTAATTCTTTATAAATTTTTTGTTCACGTCAATTTCTTAACTATTTTATACTTATATCAATATTGTCTTAAAAATCACTTCTTTAAAAAATAAATCATATATATATTATGTATTTTTTATAATATTTGATTTATTAAATAACATTACCGATCTAATCACACATATTAAGAAGAACATGAATAAATATGTGTATGTTGTATATGGATAGGAAAAATCATTTAAACCAAAGCCAATCAATACTATGACGTTATATATAAATATGATTAAATTTAAATAAAATTTCAAACTAATATATTCTATTCAACTTTTATAAATCGATGCTACTAAAAAAATTCAAATAAAATTTAAACGTTAAATAATACTCTCCAACTTAACTCGACTCAATCATATTAAATATGAAAGGGATCTGTATCATTTAACTTTGTTAATAAACTATAATTTTACAAAAAGAAAAAAGAAAATCGAAAAGCCTCATCATCCTCAGTGTTCAAATGCCCAAAGGATTTAAAACTTGGGCCTTTGGAGAGGGCTCTGTCAGCCTGTGCTGCCTGTTCTGTTTTTGGGTATTTTATAATATTTTCAATTCCTTTTTTTTTTTTTTTGGCACTGAGGATTGAGAGTTTAGAACTGTGAAATGAATCTTCTGTGGAAAGCAATGGAAATCTTTTTGTGTTGCTTAGTTTCATGTTTCCAAAGCATCCCAATATCTTGGGCAATCCTAATGGCATCTGAGGCAGCACCTGAGAGCCCTCTTCTTGTGAACCCAACTGCATACAGTCCACCATTCCCTTTCCACCCATGTGGGAATGGTGCCTTTGGGAACCCTTTCTTGCAAAGGAAATCACCTTCCTGCAGCCATGAAGGAGCATTGCTGCGGTATCCTGTCGCCAACACGACCGAGTCAATGTTGAGCCTCTCGCCGTTAACGAGCTCGACTTGTTTATACGTGAACCGCTTGATTCCGGGAACAACATTGATGTCACCTGATTTGATTTTCTCCAATGCACCAATGTCCAATACAGGGGTCTTCCCTTTTGCGTTCTTGAGCTCCAATGGTCCCATTGATGGGCGTTTAAGCCCGTATTTCTCAACGTTTCCAAGCACCAACCGAGCCAAAATCAACATCAGTTTATCAACGAGCCAAAGGGGCAGCCATTTCATCATCGAAACAGCGATTTCGAATGTCGATTTCCCGAATACTTCTCTTGGAAATACATGAACCTGTTAACAAAAAAAAAAACAACAGAACATTAGAATTTGATCTCCATTTCATGTTTATGTACTGCATGCTTTGAAATTTTAATAACTTACCGAGCTGCGAACCACCATTGATGGTGAAGCATTGTGGTTACAAAGATCAAGAGAGAGTTCCATGCCGGAGTTGCCACAGCCGACGACAAGCACTTTTTGTCCCTCGAATTTCTCCCCGGACTTGTATTCACAAGCATGGATAACTTCACCACCGAAATCCTTCAACCCTTCGATATCCGGTACGACACATTCGGCATTCTCACCGGTGGTAACCACGCCAGCGGCAAATGTACTCGAACTCGGCCTTGTTCGACACGGTCTTGACCCTCCAGAAACCACTGGTTTCATCATAAAAAGCCGACTGCACACACTCATTGAACTTTGGGTTGAGATCAAAATGCTTAGCATATGATTCAAGGTATTCAACGAACTGCTTCCTTGTAGGGTACTCGGGGAAATCCTCAGGGAAAGGCAGTTTAGGGAGTTGACAGAATTGCTTTGGAAGATGAAGCTTAAGCCTGTCGTAGGTGCGTTTTTGCCACAAAGAAGCTATGCATTCGGCTCGTTCAAGCACCACAAAGGGCACCCCTTGCTCTCTTAGGAAAGCAGAAGTGGCTAGCCCCGATGGTTCAGCACCAACTATGACCGGACCATTGACCAAAGTCCATTTACGTTCAGACAAATCTGGATCCTTTTCGTGAAGCTCATGAAACAAGCTCTGATCCATTGTCGAAAAAAAACTATTAAAGTTCTTTGTTTGGTGTTTTTGGTTTTGATTTCTGATGAACACAAACCGGAGATGAAAGAGAGAAATGAAGACAGATGCTTTGTTGAGAAGAGAACTTGATGTTGGTGGTTTGGAGGAGGGGTTTAAATAGGGATAAAATGGTGTAAAAGGTCCCATGTGATCACAATATTTGATAATAATGCAAATTGAAAGGGGTCAATTCCAAATCACAAGCCAATGGCTAACTTTTGTTATTTTATGAAATATTTAATAGAAT